AGAGAGAGAGAGAGAGAGAGAGAGAGAGAGAGAGAGAGAGAGAGAGAGAGAGAGAGAGAGAGAGAGTTTTCCAGCCATGCACGCAGAGAGATAGAAAGAGGCTACTTAATCAGAATGAATCTTCCACTAGAATATGGAAATATACGCTGCTTTCCAGCCATGCGAGCAGAGAGATAGAGAGAGGCTACTTCCAAAATCGGAATGAATCTTCCGCTAGAACATGGAAATATACACTGCCACTTTTTTACTCCTTTTTTTTTTTTGTGTGTGTGTGTGAGAGAGAGGGAGAGAGACAGAGAGAGGGAAAGAGAAAAGGTAAGTATCCAACCTCGAGGCTGGCCTCACGCTACCTCCATCGACAGGATGAGCAAAACCGAATGAATCTTTCTTCAGAACATGGGAATATACACTGCCATACTTGTGGATTCAGTCCACAAAACCGCGGCCAAAAAGGCCCCGTTCATAAAACCGCGCCAACAGCAGCCTTCTGCCCGAATGTTCCACACAATTCTCACATAATCGCGCTGCCCAAACTCCATTCACACAGGCATGGGAATATACGCTGCCACACTTGTGGATTCAGTCCACAAACCCGCGGCCAAAAAAGACCCCGTTCACAAAACCGCGCCAACAGCAGCCTTCCGCCCGAATGTTCCACACAATTATTTCATAATCACGCTGCCCAGACTCCATTCACACAGGCCCAAACCAACCTCGGCCTGAACAGTCACCATCAGAGCCATGGCTCGCTTACACTGCCGCCTGGGTCTTTCGCCCCACACTTTCGTGTGGGACTGTTGGGTTTCGCCTCTGCCTGCTGCGCGCCCTTCCTGCTGAGTTCCCCAACCTGGGAACTGGGTCTCGTGTGGGGCGTCAAGCGAGACCCGCTGTTTCCTTTAGTAGTATGTAGATAGATTATTTTTTGCGGGGTGCTGACGACCCTCGACCGGTTGGTGCCGACCAGTCAAGGGGCGCCAACCGTTGGGGTATGCAACACAGCCGGGCATTCTATTCGGGTGAAGGCGGTAGTGTTGTTGTATGTTGTGTGACATTCCATCTTTGTTCTATACCTGCCTTGCCAGTTTTCAGTTTCCAAGTCCACTCAAGCAGGCCTATTCCCAGGTCTTGTACCGGGGTGGTGGGTGAATGGTGTATTCTTCGTTCTTATTACTCTGACTTTGTGTATCGAATGAGGTTTGACCAAGACTTGCACCTCGCTTGTTTTCTCAACCGTGGTTATATTGGCGTTGGCTTGTTATTGTCATAAATTTCCATTCCGAGCCAGCGATTGTCCAGCCCCTCTGTACTGATAAAGGCCATGGCCACTGACTCCTTTGTCTCCGCCTTTCAGTTTGCCCAGTCTACATGATGCCACTCATCGGCAGTTTTCCCATTCACACCTCATCTGAAACTCCCAAAACGACAACAGTGGTGGCAACACATGACGAGGTGTACTCAGGCAGATGTAGGATGAAACACTTGTGAGAAGATGCAAGACTGCAAGACTGTTGAGTGGATGTCGGACAAATTCCGGATTGAAGTTTAGTGAATTGATGAACTTGTTCCCATGGCCTGTTTTCATCTTCTGCTGATGCCCTTATGTTGTTTCCGCCACTTTCCTGCCGCAGATGCTTAGTGATGGATTTTCATGGTATTTTATGTCTTCTTTTGGATGTTCGTATGGGTTTGTGTCCTTCCTCATTTACAAGATTCTTGGTTTGAGTGAGGTGGGACCGTGGGTGGTCAAGACTTGCCTGATTTTACCATCCGACAGATCTGGATCGCCTACCACCTGACAATGTGATTTGGAATTGTTGTTGTGCTCCATCAGGGACTCTGTGTAGTCATTCTCTCAATGAAGCATTGGCTCTCTGTGGAGTTCTATGGTGTGCATAAAGTAACGCATGATTTTGTACAGATTTCCAAGGTAAGTATTAATGATTCAATCAGGACCCCCTCTTTCCTTCCGTGCGGAAAAATGCATGTTAAAAGAGTGACTATGACTGTGAGGATGCTTTCTTTCAGCAGCCAGGTCTCCAAGAGGTATTGTGCCGCTCAACAACAATCAAAGTGGGCAGCCTTGTACGTAAGAGGCACAGTAAAAGGGCAACTGCGAAAATGGAAGGGGTACCCCAAGGATAACCAAAAATTCTCTAATTGTAAAACTGCTTTGAAATTTTGGACTGTCTCATCTTAAGTTCTCTCGTTGTCTGCTATAGAACAAAACTGCTTTAATTCTGAATCTATTCATCTGGGTGGAATTGGGGCTGTTGTGGGGAAAATTTAACACACACACACACACACACACACACACACACACACACACACACACACACACACACACACATTCACATGGCAGCATATGGATCCCCCCCTTGAGGATTCCTACACCCCTCCTTAAGTTCTCTAAATAGGCCCCCTTTTTTCCTCATTCTTTCCGTCCCCTTTTGACGATTTCCTCCCCCCAGTTTTTTGAACGCCCTGTATATGGTCCCTATGCCCAATTTCGGCCCTACGAGTAATTTGAGGTACCTCCACTAGGTCCCACACCTGGTAAAAAATGTTGTTGGGTACATTGGAGCTTCCAGTCCCCCGCCCGTTCCCCGAAGCGGTTCTTACTATACCATGCTTGTGTCCTACAGACTTCTATTTAACGGCTACCGCCGCACTTGCAATCCCTCTTTCCCGAAAGTACTGGGTCCGCATCTTCGGTTGCATAGCAATCTGGTGGCGCTGACCTACCCTTACCTGCCCTTCTGTACCCGTACAACGATCAGCCTTACTGAGTGGTCGTTTCCTCAGCTCCCCTATCTTGTCCCTTCGCCCTCGCAGCAATGGCGGATCATCTCCCGACTGTCGATGAGATGTTGGCAGACGAGGACCTCTCCCAATCTTCGCAGTCTAGCTCAGTAACATGCCGTATCCGATTGCCCCTTGTTTTCGCAATATGTTCTCATTGGTGGTGATTAGCCCCTTTTTTTTGGTGTGAGGAAGAGCAGCTTTTAATGAAGCCTTTCTGGATGGTTGTGCTCTGTTATTCCCCTCTGATGAGCTGATTGTGGCAGACAGCTAAAAGCATGTTTCAGGGACCATTTCCACCAATCCCAATGCCTTCTTATCCGGCTTCCCCATCCATAACCCGTTCCCACCCTTTGTGTGGAATTGCGGTCGGGTTTTTGGGTTAATATTCTTCTTCACACCTTCTTGCTTAATTCTTCATGTTTCGATGGTTTCAAATCGTTCTTCTCATGATAACTTACTACCTTCCGGTTGTTGACATTGTTTTGTCCTCGCGTTTCCCTGTTCCCGTGCCTGTTTATTTTGCGCCGTTGACGTCCTAGGAATCCTTCAAGTCCCGGTAGCCCTTCTGCTTGCGGGAGCTTGTGCTGACGTATTTCTTCATAGCGCTCACCGATATGGATTCGGACATGGTGTTCATTGCGATCGTCTTGATCGTGGCCTGTTTTTTCGCCTTTCTGGCGCTTCTGGCTTTCCTTGATTCGCTCGGGGATGGTACCGATATATCTAGGCATAGTAGGTGTAGGACGGAGCAATGTTTCGATGGGAGGAGTTTACTCGAGGGCCTTTTCAGGTTTATCTTGGAAATTGCTTTGAGGGAGTTGAGTGATTGATCGAGGATATTGTTAGTGAGGCTGCTTTGGATTGTCTGTTCATATGTTCCTATGTTACTAGTTGATAGCTCTCTTGTTACTTTGTATGAGGGGGTGGGGTTTTGACATTTCGGTGCGACTCCGGTTGAAACTGGTAGGATTGTTTGTCTATGTCCACGTGCTCTCGCATGAAGGGGATGAAGGGAGCTATGTGTTGGGGAATGGATTCTCGTTGCCAGATTGATGGATTTAGACGGGGTAGCATATTAATGATGGATGATGGCTCTAGTGGGTAACTGCACCCCGTTTGAGGTAGCTGGGTTTCGCCTCTTGGTGACGAAATTCTCTTTATGACAATTGTGTCGTGAGCAGCTTGTTTTCAATCGTTTCCTCTCCTTCCCCGTAAAGACCTCTTGTCTTGGTGTGTATCGTTTTGGTTTCTCATGCTTGGCGAGGGGCTTTCCTGAACATTTGTTTTTGTGCCCACCTCCTGATCGGAGTATGAACATCTGATGTGAAGCTTTTTTGCTGGCGTCTTTTATTTTATTACCACACACACACACCTGCATACAATTACTGCAAACGCCGTCAGATCTCCTTCTTTCTTGCCGGACGAACAGCAAACTCAACAGCCTGAGCAGGAAAATAGCTGTCTCTTATACACATCTAGATGTGTATAAGAGACAGGAGTATGAACATCTGATGTGAAGCTTTTTTGCTGGCGTCTTTTATTTTATTACCACACACACACACCTGCATACAATTACTGCAAACGCCGTCAGATCTCCTTCTTTCTTGCCGGACGAACAGCAAACTCAACAGCCTGAGCAGGAAAATAGAGAACCACATGAGCCGCTTACAGAGCACTGTGCTGAAGGGCTAACACCACCAGGACGAACTGTTGCAGAACAAATCCTGCAGCAGCTAGACACCCTTGTTTTCGATGACCCCCTCTTGCCACAGTCGTTGTCGTCGTTGGTCCATAGAGAAGAAATCAATGCCGACGAAACCCAAAACACTTGCTCAATGTCGTTCTGTGATGATCCACCTGAGATTCGGCTAGCATGTGGGCTGCATGCATTGTGTCATGAGGATTATGAAGGCACAGCCCGTGCGTCTTTCTGTTTTCATACATATGATGACAGACAATATTGCACTCACGTCCGGCACCCTCACATGTCATGTCCAATTTGTAGACGGGGGCTCGAACGGCAATGCCTCTTCAACTGTGGCCAGCGTGCCGCTGCGTTCCTTGCCTGTGGGAGCCATCCTGCCTGTGATATCTGTCTACGCCATGCCATTCGGTGCAGCAACTGCAACTGCGAGAATTGGATGCGATGCTTCCACAGTCCGCACCCGAATCAGTGCTGGCCGGTCTGCAGGAGTGGTCACCTACCATAGGCAACAGCTACTCCTCATCCTGCAACCCGGACACTGATTGACTTCTCGTGTCATTCTACAGTCGTCTGATCCAACAGTGTGTATAGAGAATCTATTGAACTCTCTCTCTCTCTCTCTCTCTCTCTCTCTCTCTCTCTCTCTCTCTCTCTCTCTCTCTCTCTCTCTCTCT